TAATTGTTGTGGGAGATTCAATGATCAAACACCTCAACAAAGGACGACTACGAAGATCAGTAGCTAAGAAAGCTCTGAAAATCTCTACGGAATCTTACAGTGGTGCGAACTGTGATGCCATGAAACATCATATCAGACCCTGTCTCGCTAAAAATCCTGATACAGTGATTCTACACGTCGGCACTAACGATATGGCACAGAAAAATGCGAAAGAAATTGCGAAAGGAGTCGTTGAAATTGGTAATATCATCCAGAACCAAAGTCCCAACACCAAAGTGGTCATATCTGAGCTGATCACAAGGACGGACACACCAGAAAACAGAAGAAAAGTGGCTGAGGTAAATGCTGTTCTTTTAACTAATTGTAAGAAGAACAAATGGGGTCATATAACCCATGCAAATATCCAAGCAAAACATATCAATCCATATGGTATCCATCTCAATAGAGCAGGAACACCAATGTTAGCTAAGAATATTATAAGTTTTTTGAATGAGCAAAATTGAAGGAGGGATATGATCTGGAATGGAAATATAGATTCTGACAATTGTGTATCAAATTTGAATGCTACTAATTTAAAACCACTAAAACTAAAAGGATTCACAATTGCCCATTTGAATATTAGAAGTCTAGTAAAAAACATAGACCAATTTCGACTTTATCTCCAAAATCAACAATTTGATGTTATATGTATTAATGAAACTCGACTTGATGCTACGGTTCTTAATCACGAAGTTGGAATAAATGGTTATGAAATCATAAGGAAAGATAGAAACCGAAATAGTGGGGGAGTTGCTATTTACTTAAGAAATTCTATTAATTATAAAGTAAAAGAAGAGCTAATGTCTTGCGATCTTGAAATAATTACAATTGAAATCTCTAAACCTAAATCAAAATCCTTCTTGGTAAGTTGTTGGTATAGACCACCTGATTCCTCAGTAGAAATTTTTAATAACTACGAGGAAATCGTTAAGAAAATGGACTCTGAAAATAAGGAAGTAATACTGATTGGAGACTTCAACTGTGACTGGTCTCAGATTGTAACCAATAATACTAACTCACAAACAAAGAAACTTGAAGAACTTACTAAAACTTTACAATTTGAACAATTAATTAAAGAGCCTACGCGGGTAACTGAGAGCTCTAAGACACAAATCGATCTAGCTTTCACAAATAAACCAGAAATTGTTGTTAACACCGGTGTGGTTCACTTAGGAATTAGCGATCATAGTCTTATTTTTATTCAAAGAAAAATTTCAATACAATGAAAAGCGCCCAAAATAATTAAGACAAGGCAATTTAAAAATTACAATGTCGGCGATTTCAAACAAGATCTGGGAATTAATATGCAAACAATTTCTATAACTAATGACCCAAATGAAATGTGGGATGAATGGAAACACATATTTCTTACGGTGGCAGATAGGCATGCACCACCGATTACTAAAAAAGTAAGAAGTGAATATGCTCCATGGATTACCAGTGAAATTAAAAATATGATGCACCGCAGGGACTTCTTGAAAAGAAAGGCAGTAAAAACTGGATCTAAACAATTTCATGACGCTTTTATCAAAGCACGAAATGAGCTTAACAAATTAATTAAAAGAACAAAGACAGACTATTTTACAAATACTCTTAACAACTGTAAAAACAATCCAAAACAGATGTGGAAAACAATTAATAAACTTACCAATAAAAATTCGAAAACGACTATTATCACAGGAGTTAAGCACGAAAGCCAAAGTGCTACAGATGTCTCTTCTATAACAAAGATCTTTAATACATATTTCAATGAAATCGGAATGAATTTAGCCAGCAACATGGAGCAATCTACAAGGTCACCCGAGACATATCTTTCGAGCTGCAATTCACAATTTCAGATACAGAATGCTACTGTAATAGAAGTTCATAAAATACTGTCCTCTATTAACGTTTCTAAGTCAACAGGGCACGATGGAATATCTAATAAACTTCTAAAAGATTCAGCTGATATAGTATCTTACTCTCTTTCATTAATATTCAACACATCCATAAATACAGGTATATTCCCAAACGATTTCAAAACAGCAATAATCTCACCAATACACAAAGCAGGATGCAAAACTGAATGCAATAACTATAGGCCAATCTCAATCCTATCTAGCGTTGCCAAAATTTTTGAAAAACTTATTACCCAACAACTGGAAACTTATCTTGAAACGAATGGGTTACTTGTACAACAAGAAGCTGGTTTTAGAAAGAAACACTGTACGCAGACTTCTCTCCTTAGCATTACAAATCAATGGTTTATTAACATGGATAAGGGAAATTTGAATGGTGTTATCTTTCTTGACTTAAAAAAAGCATTCGATTGTGTTGATCATAGTATTCTATTAAGAAAACTTTATAATTATGGCATAAGAGGAAAATCATTTCAATGGTTCCAGTACTATCTCTCCGATAGAGTACAAATGTGTAAAGTTAACCAAACATTATCTAACAAAAGAATCGTTAAATGTGGTGTGCCACAGGGCTCAAATCTTGGCCCATTATTGTTTTTATTATATATAAACGATCTTCCAAATTGCTTGTCTTCATCGGCTGCTAGCATGTTTGCCGATGATACAAATATTTCTACACATGGCTCATCAGCGGCAGAAATTCAGGAACAACTAAACCATGACTTAGACAACATACACCAATGGTTGCTGGCTAATAAGCTTACTTTGAATAAAGAAAAGACCGAATATATGGTAATTGAGTCTAGACAAAGATTATCTAAAGTATTAAATGAGCCGGAAATCCACGTAGGCGAAACAACAATTAAACGAGTAAGCTATTCTAAAACTCTAGGCGTTGTTATAGATGAGAATCTTACTTGGGAAAGGCAAATCGAAAACATACAGACTAAAATCTCAAAAGGTATCGGCATGTTACGGCGAATGAAAAAAATAATTCCTAAAACAACATTGAAAAAAGTATATAATGCCATTATATTACCACATTTCGACTACTGCAGCCTTGTTTGGGATAATTGTAGTGATTATTTAATTGACAAACTTCAAAAACTGCAAAACAGAGCGGCATGTGTAATCACTGGCAGAACATACGAAACAAGATCACGCGATGTTTTAAAAGAACTACATTGGCAACCCTTGAAAGAACGCCTTAAGCAAAAAAACCTATTTTTTATGCATAAGGTAAGGAATAATGAACTGCCAATTAGTATGATGAATATGTTTGATATTAAAACAAACTCGCGGTATAACCTCCGTAGCAACAATCGAGATTTCACCCTCGACAAACCAAGTACAAATTTTTTGAAGAAAAGCATAAGCTATACAGCCTCTTTGGCCTGGAATAATTTGCCTCTTGAGGCTAAAGGTTCAGGAATTACTAGTCAGAAATTCAAGTCCATTCTTGATTCAGATTCAGATTCAAAATTTATTTCACACATTTACAAAAGGATATAGTTAGACATTAATTGCATCACAACAAAAAATCATAATAGAAAGGAAAAAAGGGAGTTAATTATAGTATTATATCGTGTACAGTGGCCAAAGTAGCCGAGAAGCTTTCGAGTTGGCCGCCGTTTACAAAATTGTTGTTTTGTTACTGTTGACGAAAATCTTTCTTGGAAAAGAAACACTGAGAGTATATGTAGTAAAATATCATCTGGGATATATGCTCTCAAACAAATTAAAACGTTTGTTGATATAAAAACACTCATATCGGTATACAATGCTTTGATCCAACCCTATTTCAGTTATTGTTGTGAAGTATGGGATGTATTTGGCGAAACCCAATCTAAACGTCTGCAAAAGCTTCAAAACAGAGCAGCTCGCATCATAGCAAGTGTACCGAACGATGTTGATCAGCAAACTGTATTGGATTTATTAGGATGGAAAACATTAAAAGAACAACGATTAAAAACTAAAGCGAAAACAATGTTTAAGATACTTCATAGTATGGGGCCAAATTGCCTCAAAGACTTATTCCTTTTCAAAAAAAAATGAAATATTGAATCATAATCTACGTGACAGCTCGACCACATTACGGTTGCCAAAGCCACGTTCGAACAGTTTAAAAAAGAGTTTCATGTATGACGGAGCTGTCATATGGAACTCTTTGCCAGAAATTATTAGAGAAAGCAAAACGCTATCAATTTTCGAAAGGAAAATCGCTACCCATTCTTATTAAAGCATGAATGTAAATAGTAAATTAACGTATATTATATAGTATATTTTCTTTTTCACATATATGCATGTAATTTCTTACTACCTTAATCTTTTTTTTTCTTGTAAATTTACTTTTGTTCACACGCCCATTGTGGAAACCAGCTTTAGCTGACAATGTTAGCGTGGTTAAATAAAGTTTTATCATCATCACGACACCTTCGCTTGCTTAAGATAAGGTTTTCTTTCCTTGGATTGTAAGCCGTGAATTTGTAAAACATGTGTACTGATATTCTTCAATTCAGGCCGAACGCAAAGCGAACAGGTCCGGCAAAATCGTCTCTGTATGACTGCTCCGGCAAATGATTCAAGTTTGCATAGAAACACGTTTCTATGTGTTGTTGCTTTCAGGAAGAGCTTCATAGAAGCTTCTGTGAAGCTTCTGTGATGCTTCTGTAAAGCTTCTGTGAACATCTGTACGTAAAGCTTCTGTGAAGCTTCTGTGAAGCATCTGTAAAGCTTCTGTAAAGCTTCTATGAAGCTGTTCCTGAAAGCAACAATTCATAGAAACGTTGTTATATGCAAACTTGAATCATTTGCCGGAGCAGTCATGCAGAGACGATTTCGCCGGACCTGTCCGCTTTGCGGTCGGCCTGATTTGAAGAATATCAGTACACATCTTTTACAAGTTCACGGCTTACAATCCAAGGAGAGAAAACCTTATCTTA